CTGATGACAGCTATTAATTTAAAGGGGACAGTCTGCTGAACAGTTCTACTATAAGCTGATGGTCGCTAAGGCGACCATCAGCTTATAGTAGAACTGTAAATGCCAGGTCCGTACGGCATGCTGAGCTGGCCAGCTGGAAGCACTTTTGTAGCACCGTATGCCGTACGTCCTTGGCAGCGAAAGGGTTAAACTATTGGGAAAGGAAAAAAAAAAAAAAAGTATTTGTATTGAGATATATGCGCACAGGACGCATGGTCATAAATAAAACTTTGAGCGTGGCAGATGCTTGTTCTTTGATTGTCACTGCAGATTCCAGAAAATCTAAAACAGTCTGGATTGTTTTCTGGCCCGCTTATCCTTTGGTCTAAAGCAGGGGTCCATAAATGGCAATTGCGGTCCGGATAAAACCGCTACTCTGTCCATATCTGGACCGCGTATCGCGATTGCCGCAGGTCCCTATTGGTCCTCAGTCATTGGCTGCTAGGACCGCAGTATTCCTAGCAACCAATGATGTCAGCTTTGTACCTGCAGAGCATTGAGGGCAGAAGAGCTTAGTCTTCTGTCCTCCCCTGCAGCCCGAAGTCTGCCCGCATCCTGGCTTCTCCCACCCACACCTCCCAGCTCCATTCTAATGTCACAGCAGCATTTTAAAGGTGCAATCTAGGGACAACCTGTGTATGGGAGACCCTGATGGGTGACCCCCTTCATTAAATATGATGGGGACAGCCAATGTAAGTATACTGAGGACAAAGGGAGGAGGTCTAGTGTAGGTGGAGAATGTCTTCAATAGATACACTATAATATCAGTTCAGGAGCAAAAAGCAAAATAGTTTATGCTGTGGTCTGTTTTGTTTATGAAATCTATAGTGCTCATGGGTGCACCCTGTATTAAAATGTTTATTGGTGAAATAAAGTTGTTTTGTTAGAAATAAAAAATTCTCACCACAAAACGTGTTGCACCCCACCACCGATTCTAAGGTTTGTCTGCAACTAGGACAATTAGAAGCCCCAGCTTCCTGACTCCAGAGGCGCTCAAGAATCCATGGAATATACTTTTTTTTAAACCTCCAGTTCTCAGTGCTCCATAGGAATAGGTAAATAAAACTACAAAGGTTGCACATACCTGAGTGTCTTGTAGCTGTGATTCCAAGGTAGAGAAATCTTTGGCAAGTTTGATAGATTTGCTATCCGCTTGAGAAAGGAGACTTGAGACGTTTTCCAACTCAACCTAAAGACACCATATTATTACACATTTACACAATAAATTATAAGTAAATAAAGTTTCCAACTCCACTCCCCATCTCTAGGTGCCTCTACAACTCCCACAATCTGCCCTTCTCTCTCCATCATTCTTGTTATTAAACCTGCACTGTACCTGCAGTCTGTTTGCCTTCTCCGATAGTTCAGCTCGAAATCTGTCACCTTCTGATACTTTGACTTGCAGTTCTTGAAGCTGTACTTCTACTTTTTTCCTCTTGTGCTCAGAGTCTCCCTTGACTTGCATAAGAGCTTTCACCTCATTGGCTAGTTCATTACGTTCACTCTCCAGTGCTTGTTTAGCCTTTTCCAAATTTCCTTTCACCTATGAAGGGGGAAAAAACCCCACTGGTGTTACCACAGCAATACAGATTTAATTCAAAGCCAAAACACACAATCTTGCATACCTTCTTCTGGTAGACGTGAAATGATATACATTGTATAAAAAAGAAAGAACTAACATTCCCAGCACAGTAAAGGGTTATTCGTTACTTGCAATAAAGGGATTCAGGCATATATTCTGGCATGTTCACAAAGCTATGGGTTACATGTGGAGCTCTGTGGAGCTCTCTCGATGAACACTTTCATTGTAGTATTAAACCACACAAGGAGCATTAGGACTGGTTCACACCTAGGCGTTTTTGAGCAGTTGGAAAAGCGCTTTTAAACCGCAACACAAGAAATCCGATGATTGCGCAGCAAAACGCCAATGGCCGGAAAGGTGCATGAGCTTCTTTGGGCATTTTTGCCCCATAGACTTCAATAGAAACACCTGAAAACTTGCAGCAGAAGCATGTTACAAATTTTCGTGTGCATTCGTCCATTGCCCGCAATGTTTAAGATGCCAGTTAAAACGCGCATCCTCATGTACCCTTTAATAAAATGCCAAAACCAATGCCACCTAGGTGTGAACCCGGCCTTAAAGGGTTTCTAAACCCTGCTAGGGAGCAGATCTATGCAAAAAGTTTTTTTTATAAAAACGCTTTAAAAGCGGTTTTAACTTACCCGTGTCTTCCCTGCGCTTCCATCCGAAAATACCCAACACCAACTGTTATCCGATTGTACAGATGCATACTATGTATCAAAATGCTATAATATTCTTATTGTTGCACAACTGCATATGTACACTCTTCATACTTATCTGCATTATTTTTTCCTTTCTGTAAAATTTGAAAACTATCTAAATAAAGATTTATATTTATATATATAAAGCTATATGGTGTTTTCAGCAAGACTGGCTTTTGAAAAGATGGTAAGCATCCCTTTACAACTGCTAAGATAAAATCCATGAGACAAACGGAGGAACTGGCTCAGTCAAAGGTAAAGGAAATTTTTTGTTTACTTTACGAAGCCTGTGCACCACATAGTATCTGGTGAGGGTTGAAGGTACAACTAAAGACAGTATGGCAGTCAAAGTACCAACATAACCAGGTTGCCTAAATCTCCCTTTCCATAGGAGCCAGGTTCCATCTAAGCGATAGGCAACAAACCAAAAACACATGAACTGAAGATGGAAAAAATATGATATACATTTTTAGGCTACCTCTATGTTAAAGCTTGGCATTAAGGATGCTCAGTTGGCCATTGGGTGCAAAAGACTGATCCGCATGCCACTATCTTAGTACGATGTTTTTGCATATGTAAACAATTTTTTTTTTTTTAATTCCTCTACTTTAAGAAGGGTTAAACGTATGTTAATTGGCTCTTACCCGTTTTGTCTGTTCCAGCTGTTCAGAAAGCTCCTCAACAGCTTGTGCATGCTTTTGTCTGAGCTCCTGAACTTGGCCTTCATGAAGTCGAGCTTCTTCTTCAGAAATTTTCTTCAGTTGCGATACCTCTTGCTCACGTTTCGTTCTAAAAAACAAAAAACACAAAAAAGTTACTCCTCATCTATAGATAACATTATGATACAGGATTTATATAGCGCCAGCAGTTTGCACAGCGCTTTACAAAATTGGAGACAATACAACAATACAATTTCCGTACAGGAGGTAGGAGGGCCCTGCTCGTGAGAGCTTACCATGTAGTAGGAGGGGCAAGTGATACAAAAAAGGGAATAGATTTAAAAAGTCAAATTCATCTTAAAAACACAAAATAAACTAGTAAATGTTAATGGAAACAAAAAAATAACCGCACTCCACAAGATATATGCGATAAATCCTGTGTTTATTGATGCAAAAATCAAGTGATCATCACAGCAAGCTCCCCAGACCAAACTCCTCTTGCATGTTTCACCAATGTGGCTTACTCGTGACCTATGAGTAAGCTGCATTGGTGAAACATGTAACAGGAGTTTGCTCTTTAGTCTGTGGAGCTTACTGTGATGTACACTTGATTTTGCATCAACACAGGATTCATCGCTTGTATCTTGCAGAGTGCAATTATTCTTTGGTTTCTATTCATGCATGGTGAGCACACACTTTACAACTTGCACCTGCAGGGGAAATGCAGCGTGAGCTGGGCTGCAAATTCGGATTGTTTTTTTTTTTGCAATACTACTAGTAAATAACACCGCTTTCATTATTAAAAAAAAATTGTCAATACCGGAGTTCTTGTTGCGCTGCAGTTGAGTCCAAGGTATCCTCAAGTTCAGTCTTTAATGCTTCAAGTTCTTCTCCAAGATCACGCTTTTGCTTCTCTGCCTTATTGCGTGCAGCTCTTTCAGAGTCCAGATCTTCCTGTAGTTCACCAATCTGAGATTCTAACTCTCGAATTTTCTTTAGGGCAATGTTCTTCTGTGTAGCTTCTTCCTCCACCCTAGAAATATAGCACACAAGTATTTTGAGAGAATTTAAGCATATGGATAGGTAATGAGCTTGTGCCACCAATTCCTATAACCTCTATCAAAATCAAGCAGGGGAAGGACAGTAACACACATTTTCTCTAAAGTGGCAGGGTAGGTTTCTGCACCAGTCCAAAAAAAAAAAAAAAGCAAGGCAACGTAATCAGGCCTCTTACAAACTTAGCTCTTCCGCATTTATGAACATAGGAAAGATATCAAGCTAGGTGTATGAAAGATGTTCAGTTTACTTCCTAGCAACAATTCCTACAGCATTGTAGAACATGAAATATGTAGAACAGATACGTCATAAATGAGGTCTTATAATTGTGCCAAGGAGTCCCATAGCCACAAAGGATCAGCATAGTGGTGCTCACAAGAAGTGTTTCAAGATTCTTCATTAATTTAAGATCTGTAGCAACTCTTCCGTAAAGATTAACATTTGGTACAGCAGATTAAGCACCCTTATACAAGAGATGCATTCTGTATAGGATATCTAGTAGTCAGCACTGTTCCATCTCATATCACCAAAACATGTGTTGCAAACAATGCTACTAACCTTGCTAGAGCAGCCTGCAACTCTTCCTCCTTTTTAGCAAGTTGCAACTTTAATTCAGCAATTTGTGCCTGCAGCTCTGCAATCTGATCATGCAAATCAGTACTGTCTCCCTCTAACTTGCGGCGTGTCTTCTCTAGCTCCTGACGCTGCTTCTCTTCTCTGCGAAGGCGCTCTGCAAAGACATTTTATTATAAGCAATCAAGTCTATGATTTATTCCTGGCTAGAAAACATCTAGAAATATTTATAATGAAACGGAAATTAAATTAGTTTCAAGCAAAAGTTCTTACACACATTTGAGAATAATAGTTTAGAAAATCGGTATGCATGTTCCAGGACACCAACTCCACAGTGAACAATGGGGGTCAACATGAGAGCCAGGCAACTAGGATTTTGAGAAGAGGTCAGCCATGACAATCGTCTGGAGACGGCAACCCGCAGATGCTGCAGTGCCGTCCGTCCGTTTTTTTACTACGGGCGGACGGCAAGAGGTTAAGGACGATTTCCTTTAAGTTCTTTTTATACTGCAGCTTTACATTCAAGGACAGGTGTGTAGTTATTAAAGTATGGTCTATTCTTGTCACATTAGCCTCTGTACAGCATTACACTAAGCTGCAATTTCTGCTCTAACTCCTGACTGAGCTCAACACACAGTGCAAACTTCCTGGGCTACGGGCAGTGGATAAAATAGAAAAAACAGGCAACCATGTATGCAGTCACCATTAATGCAATTGAAAGAGCTGCAAAAGCATGGCCTTCAATTTGTTATACCTTCCAAGTCAGAGATCATGGTTTCATGTTTGTTCTTGAGTTTAGCAAGGCTCTTAGACTTTTCTTCTTCCTCTGTTAGGTTAGTGGTATATTCCGCAACCCGTTCCTCAAGAAGTTTCTTCTCCTACAACATGCAAAAAAACAGATATTTCACAATGATATATTGAATATATAAGCTTTTCCTAAAATATCCGTGTACACACACTAATTCCGTTACATGGTCCTTACCTTGATCAATTTGCCTGTTTGATCTTCCAGAACTAGTACTTCCTCTTCCATCTTCTTAAGTTTTGCCTCAACAGTTACTTTTTCCAGCTGTAACTTTTGTCTGGCCGCTTCTTCCTCTTCTAGTTGTTCCTCTAGTTCCTACACAAAAATTTAAAATTAAACACAGCTACTTTGCATCCAATGTCCCATAAGACAAATTAAGGTGGTTTTAACCTGCTAGCTGGATTTTAAAAAATGGATGGAAGGTAAAGCAATGTATAGGGCGAAAATTCTGTTTTTAGTGCTCTGCCTCCTAGAGGTGTGGCTAATACCCCAGCATCTGTGCTTCCTCAGATATTACTAGAAAAAACATGCACCATTTATGCATTAGTTTCAAAGAGAAACTTAAGAGCCATAAAAACATTACTGTATATTCGCAGAATTGCTGCAATTTTATAAGCTTACACAGATCTGGAAGCTGGCCCTTGGACTCATAACATTGAGGTCCAATGGAAGGTAGTAATTTGGGTAAGGGGGGGATTGTCAATCCCGGGATGTCAGTCAACTGTGTAAACAATCATTTTCTTGCATGGCGAGTTTCTCAAAATACAGCATGAAGGTAAATGACGTTAAGGTCCAAAAAAATTGATGGGAGCGTGAGGAGGTCTTCCAGGAGAACAAGAACATCATAGTTTAAACAGCCATAAATATGTGTAGTAGCAGCTTGAACTGGTTTGGGGTATAGCCCCCTGGCTTTTTGGTCAGTGGAGAAACATATGGGTCTTTGCAGAGGGTGAAGCCCATCACAATGCAAATATTATGGGATATCTTAGGCCACAATTACGCCACTGTGGGACATTCCCACAAGATAGACAAAAAGGTACTTCTGCATGTCAGTACTGGAAACTGGCATAAAAAAAATATAGAGCTTTACAAAATACTGCTCGTGGCAAAGTACCATCTCAGTAACAATGAAAATCATGAGAGTAAAAGGGCTGGGAGGAAAAGTGTGTTTTAATGGGGTTTGCTCAAAAGGTTTTGTGGTGGCACTAGTATGGTCAAATAGTACTTGACACAGTTAGCAAAAAAAAAAAAAGGTAGGCAATACGTATGCTGCAGGGAGGAAAAACATTTAATGCCTGAGGCTCTCATCTCATGTCTATGCGTACAATTGGACAGTTAACCAAGTTCACTAACGAGTACCATGTTTGGCAGCTGGGTTTATCACAATCTTTGCAAACAAACTATCAAGAATTCATGCTGTAATCTTTTAGTAGACATGTGCAGAAATAAAATTTAAAAAAGCCGATCACATTTGGCATACCCCAATGTTCTGCTGCATTTTTTTCTTTTCTGTCTGCAAAAGTTGACATCTTTCCTCCTCTTCTTCCACCCGCGACTCCAAATCATGCAAGATTTCTTCCAATTCTTGTTTCCTGGCCGCTAAACGGACTCTTATTTCCTCTGCTTCTGCACAGAGTTCAGTCTCCGCTTGCAGCTGTTCTTGCAGTTGCATTTTTTCTTGTTGAAGCTAAGTCAGAAAAGGATAATTAGATAATCACACACAAAAAAAAAAAAAAAAAATATAAAATTAAGCTTCTACACCCTTTGTTATCCATAAATTTGAAACCGAAAAATCTCTCCATCCAGTATTGACTAACACTTCTACATATAACTCATTGTTTGGTTGAACATCCCTCGTCATGGCTTGTTCTCCAGCTAAGTTGTATATATTTATTCAGAACCTTGCTTAAGACTTGGACTAACGGACAGTGTGAGCGTGAAGAAATGGGTAGACGAGATTGCAAATTGGAGGAAGGCATGAGTAGGGATTTTTTTAAATTCATCTGTATTTTATTTTTTGCAGTGATAGGTTGCTGAAAAGTGTGATTTTATAAAAAAAAAAAAAATCGCACCAATACTGACTTCCTGCTTGAGGATAATAGTAATCTGTTGCTGCAGGAGAATCCCGGGCAGGGCTGCATTTAAAATGTATACTATGCACAACATACCTTATAAGTGTAGCTCTACTATTGCACTTTTAAAAACACTTAAGTTTCTGAATGAATAAGAAGCCTCTGTACTGAGTACTTTCCATTATTTTAGAATAGAAGCTGCAGAAAAAGATTGACGACTCTGTCCGCAATTTCTTTTTCTATTTAAAAATGGCCTCAGCTATTCCCCTGAATATCAAGTTTTGATAAATTCCCCTCATTGTGTTCCTTAAGCCATTCTTACAGTGTAGCAGGGCACATTATCCTGCTGAAAGAGGCCACTGTCCGGGAATACTGTTTACATGAAGGGATGCATTTGGTCAGCAACAATGTTTAGGTAGGTGGCACGTGTCAAAGTAAAATTCACATGAATGGCGGGACCCAGGGTTCCCCAGCAAAACATTGACCAAAGTGTTGCACTGTTTAAGCCAGCTTGTCTTCTTCCCACAGTGCATCATTAGGCCATCCCTTCCTCAGATAAGCGAAGCACACGCACCCAGCCATCCGCAAAATGTAAGGGAAAATGCGATTCATCACACCTGGTCCAATTCTGATGCTCACATGCCCATTGTAGGCCCTTTGGTGGTAGACAGGGGTCAGCAAGGGAACCCTGACTGGTCTACGGCTATGCAGCCCCAAACTGTGATGCACTGTGTATTCAGGCACCTTTCCATCAGAACCAACATTAGCCTTTTCAACAATTTGACCTACAGAAGCTCTATTGGATCGGACTACATGGGCCAGCCTTCACTCTCCAGGTGCATCAATGAGCCTTGGCTGCAACTCTGACTAATGGTAGACAATCTAAACATTTTGACGCAATCTCACCTGTATCTGTAGGCTTTCCATTTCTGAAAGTTTCTGTTCAGAGGCAGTTTGAAGTTCTTTTACTTTCAGAAGTTCTACTTCCTTTGTGTGCAGCTCCTCATCAAATCTATTCGCTTGTAAGAGTGGTTTAACCTAAAAAAAAAATTACATTTTGATTAAATCTTAACTAGTAATACATATTACCAATTTACTACTTGTCACTGAGTTTTTCTAAATGAACTAGTCCCTGCAATGTTTTTATTTTATTTTATTGCAGGAACTAATGGATTTAAAAGTGACAAACCAGAAGCTTTGAGCAAGTGGCCCCACTGTGTTCCCAACTAAATTTTTGGATATTAACTGTCTGTTTTCTATTGTATTATGTACACTTTTTTCTTTGTACCCGACTCTTGATTAAATAAAAAAACTTATCAGATTTAAAAATATTTAAAAAAATGTTTGGGGATATTACCATCTTTGAAAGAAAAGCACAAGTAATCCTTTAGAGCCCATTCACACCAAATGCATTGGGACTGTGCGGTTTCCAGGACAGCCCAAACACACAAAGACAATTTGCCTTATTCTTAAACAGCTCAGTACTTTATGCACAATGTGGTGCACACCGGTACAACCACAGCACTGTGCCGATAGCACTCAATCAGGATGTGCTTATCTCTACTGCACTTGTCAGCACACACCAGCAGCCAGCTCAGTTTGCTGGTTTGAACGGGCCATTACACTTAGCTCCCAATGTCCTTATTCAACTATACTGAAAGAAGCCATTTCATGCAATAGCAAAAACATTTGAAGACATCAACAAAAGCTAAAACAAACCTTTGTGAAGAGCCTCCACCACTGCCAATTTCTCAGTTTAAGGTAGGCTGCGCAATTCCTCTGAATCACTTTCATGGCGGTGAGTTGCTGTTGCCGTTTCGCAAATGCTCTGTGAATAAGCAGCAGTTAAATTCAAAGGTCATATTAAAAACATTAGTATATGACATCCTGTGCTTCCCACATCAGTGACTACCAAACAAGGATTAATTTGCTCAGCAATAGTCTAAAAAAATAGTTCTATATAAAATTACTAAGCTGAATATAGTTAAAACTCCCCAGAATTAATTATAGTGAAACCAACCTAGCTCAATATTTTTCTAAAAAGTATCCATGCTGAAGAGCAGGTAACTTGTATCATCTGTAGGCAAATAGGCAAGTGTGATAAGTCTTCAAAATCGGAGCGGCATTGGATCCAAGGCTTAGGCTGCACATGGAGCTTTAATGTTTATCAAACTTGGTATTGAACCCCACCCAGTCATCCCGCTGTCAAATGCAATAACTTCAGAGGCCATTAACTGTTTTGGCAATAGAGAGGTCTTAGGGCAGAGCTTGGCACTAGGATGAGACTTGATACAATATTAAAAAATACCAATTAAGTACCACTTCAGATCAATTCTAATATACCATTTGCCTTTTTTGAATTACTTCAACCTCTCCATCCTTCTATACATACACCAGTTTTTATTGGCAAAACACAGGTCTGGCTCTGTATGCATGTACAAAAGCTTCATTATCCTACACTTAAATCCATGAAAATCCTGCCATAATATGGAAAATCTCAAACTCCCTATAGGGCATCAAAATGTATTTTTTTTTTTTTTTAAATGTACCCTTGGAGTGGGGCTACACCGCAAGGGTTAGGTCCTTATTTTGTCTTTGTCTCCTCCCCTGGGCTCCTGGGGTCTAAGGACCGTTGACCTATCTAATGCATGTCCACTGACTTTGCAATAGATGTAAGGATACCGAAGGACTTTCCAAAACCGGAGCAGAGTGGAAGACGTGCAAGTGCCAACCACCACGGGACCAAGAATCAGGCAAGTATATCTGCTTTGAGTCCCCTTAGACAAAATGAGCACTTAAGCCTCACCTGACACTCCACCCAGGGGGTGACATAATTGCTCAGTCCTACAGCACATCATTCCTCAGTCCCACAGCTTTAACCCCTTCCACAAAACAAACAGGGATCCAAGGGATTTTTAAAAGCGCTCCTAGGTAAATGAGGTAACTCCCACTCCTTGGCCCAATTGATCAATTTACAAAGCAAGTCTTCTGAGGCAGGGCAAGCGCTGAGGCTGGGAACCTTTGTAGTGCGCCATGGCTCACTTTTACCAGAACGGAGTCTGGAGACTGCCCTACGTGGAACCCAGAGCCTAAAAAGTCACTTTCATATTATCCCCTCTATTTATGGATAGAAAAGTATGACAAGAAAAAAAGAAGTGCAAGAGAAAGTGAGAAAGCAGCAAGAAAAGTAATGAGGTTGACAAAGTATTTGTAAAGAGAGAAGGGGGGGAAAAAAAGGGATGGGCAGGGGTCAGGAGCAGTGGGGTCTGAGAAAGGCCGGAATACCTGAAACCTGCTAGACATGCTTTCCCCCACTGTATCTCTGGTCTGAACAGGCAAACAAAAGGAATAATCCTGAGTATGTGTCCAACAGTGATTTAGTAAAAACAGCCTTAATGTGCGTCTTTCCTAAAGCAGAGCTGAAGAGGCATCCAGACCCCCTAGGACACTAGCAAAAAAACTCACATGCTGGTAGTGGGAGGAATTATCCTGGGCTGCTATAGGTTTTTTTGGTTTGCCAGTGTCCAATCCTCCTGTAGGCTTCAGATTAACTGAAAGGTTAATGAGCCTTAATAAACGAGCAAGAAATATTGAATCTTTTTTTGGGTGGTGATGCCACTAGTAGTGAGCGTAACCGTTTTAAGCTTATTGTAGTGTGTTGAATGGTTTAATTCAAAACCTTCATTATAATCTGATACAAACTACAAATCCTAAATGCAGTTTCTCATTTACTTACTTTCTTGCCAAGAAGCCTCTGCACCAGGCCTGGAAGGCAATAATCACATCTGTAATCTTGAGGTCCCGCTCTTCTTCAAGGTGAGCTAGGACACCTGCTCTGAAAAACACTTTGCTTTGACCAATACGGTAAAGGTTAGAGTCCAACTCAAGGGCTTTTATCTGTAGAAGACACATTAAAAAAATCACATGTTGTGTTGAACCTACTCATAGAACCTATATCATACCGAATCTTACAAATCTTTAATCGTACCATTATAACGCATGCCTGTTTTCCATCCATGAAGCCTTTGGGAATAGAATTTGGAGTGAGAATTTCATATCTTTGAGAGAGAAAAAAA